AAATACTCCATAGATTTATAGATAGATAAGAGAATCCATAGATAGATATGAGAATCCACAGATAGATAGATTAGAGGATCCATAGATATATAGAGAAGAGAATCCATAGATAGATAAATAGATAGATAGATAGATAGATAGATAGATAGATAGATAGATAGATAGATAGATAGATATGGACAGGCTGATATATAAATATATATATATATATATATATATATATATATATATATAGATAGATAGATAGATAGATAGATAGATAGATAGATAGATAGATATGAGAAACCAGAGATAGATAGGTTAGATAGATAGATAAATACAGGATGGTCTCAGTAGTTTCATTTTTCATAGCACTGTCTAAAAAGTATATATATGAGCCTCCTCGGACAATCAGCTTAATGAAATACACAACTAAACTCATCATCTGGATTCTGATGAAAGCAGTCTTACAGAATAAGACCTGAAGTAATGGAAAAAAAATGCTGTTTTGTTAAAGACACTGAAACAAGGAATGCAGTATTTATGCTTAGAATGATATCAGAAAGAGGAATACAAAGGGAGAAAGACGTGTACCAACGTTTCATAGACTATGCAAAACCATTTGATAATGTACGACACAAAGAACTGCTTGAACTGCTATGAAAACTTGGTTTATCTGGTAAAGATATTAGAATAATACGGAATGACCGTATTTGACGGCATATGAGGCGCATTTTTTTTTTACTAAAAATATCTTTTAAAATTCCCATGCGTCTTATATGCCATATGTCGGTTTAAAATTCGCGGTAGTCGGCCGAAATTGAATGACGTATTATTTCACAACGATGATAGTAGTATTTAAAATGAGAAGACGAATTTATGTACCGTATTTGACGGCATATAAGGCGCATATTTTTACTAAAAATATCTTTTAAAATTCCCCTACGTCTTATATGCTATATGTCGAATTACAATTCGCGGTAGTCGGCCGAAATTAGATGACCTATTATTTAACAACGATGATAGTAGTATTTAAAATGAGAAAACGAATGTATGTACCATATTTGACGGCATATAAGGCGCATTTTTTTTTACTAAAAATATCTTTGAAAATTCCTCAGCGTCTTATATGTCATATGTCGGTTTAAAATTCGCGGTAGTCGGCCGAAGTTAGATGACGCATTATTTAACAACGATGATAGCAGTATTTAAAATGAGAAGACGAATTTATGTACCGTATTTGACTGCATATAAGGCGTGCATTTTTTACAAAAAATATCTTTTAAAATTTCCCTGTGTCTTATATGCCATATGTCGGTTAAAAATTCGCGATTGTCGGCGGAAATTAGCTACCTGTCAACTCCTATTAGCTTAGACATAAAGGTTCAGTGGAATACGTGGATGGCAATGCCTGATCACGTCCTTACACTTACAGGAAGAATAAAGAGACCCAGAATTGCACAAATCTTCGAATGGGTGAGGCAAACTTGGGATAATAAAGAACAAGAAATTCTTGTGAAAACTTTTAAAAAAGTGTGGCATTAACAATTCACTCAATGGAACGGAAGATGACGCATTATTTAACGATGATGATAATATTATTGAAAATGAGTATCAGAGTTTTGATAACGAAGACGACGAATTTTATGGCTTTGAAGATAAATAAAATTTTAATGGTAACTCTACTGTTTTGCTCAATTGTAATAATTGCTTGATTTTTATTTTGTTTTCTTACCTTTGGATATTATAAAGTTTTTATAGGCTGGTGTTCTTTTTTTCCTATTATTTTCGTTTAATTGTAATCATGGCTTGTTTAACCTAAATAATATCTCATAAATATAGCCTAGGCTGTATAATTTACTAATAATTTTACTAATTTTTTCTTGATTTGCCCTGCTGAAATTGGGGTGCGTCTTATACATCCGTGCGTCTTATATACCGTTAAATACGGTAATACTGAAAACAATCCTCCTCCACACGGAATGAAAATAAATTCAGTAAATACACATAAATAGAAAGGATTATAAGACAAGGATGTGTCTTCTCGCCAGATCAGTAGTTCACTACCGACTGTTCGGTTGTACTCTCTTCCTACGGACGGGAGGAACCCGAAGGAGGCTACGCCGAAGGGTGGAGTCTCCTTCGGGGAGGTAAAACCGGCCCTGAACCCGTTTATGCATTTGGGCATATTTTTGGCCGAGCCCACGGGCTCGGAATGCCCACATGACACCCTCGTGGCGGGGTGTGACTGAATATCGTCTTCTCGCCAGATCAAGTCAACCTTTACAGCACACTGTAATATTTACAAATGATAGAATGTTGTGGAGAGCCATGATCATTCACATCCTGAAAAGACACGATATATAAAGAAGACTTGCAGTAGTATAATATCGTTTGAATGGCTAATGAAAACGCAAGATTTAAATTTGCATACGAGATTTTATTTAATTCAACTCCAGCCCGTGGGTGTGTGTTTGTGGGCCCCGATGCCTTCGAATGTGGAATGTAAATTCTTGTGTAGATATCAGAGACAGCCAGTTTTTCTCTGAGGAAGGGGTTGTTTACATATGTGCCTGTCATTCTTTTCCCTCGTGTGAATATCTCAGGCGCAGTCTGTAAGATAACGTGTCCCCATGTCGTGGCAGTCATTAATATCAGATGAATCGAGGACCTCTTGCCCCAGCTGGGAGGTTATTTTTCAGGTCAACCCAGCGCCCGTCTTCAAGTCTATTCTGACATGATCTGAAGTGAGTCTAATATATGTTTCAGTTTTGTGCACCGATCCTGCTAAAATTTCTTAGTTTTTTTTTCCTACTTTAACAAATGCCGCATGTGATTTGTCAATTGCCTGCGAGTCGTTGACATCAATAAGATATTTTATGCCAGGGTTATAACAAAAATGTTCTAGTTTCACAAGAATTAATGGTGATATAACCTAATTCCAATTTAAATTCTCACTACAAGGATTCAAATTTACGCTGCGATTTTTTTAACTCTCAGTCAAATCTGAACTCTTTTGATGCCACTGTCTTGTCAGAAGGTGAAATTATGTCCAAAATTGTTTTTGGTTCAAGTTTTGAGATATTCGTGTCTAAAATCTATTAATATATCATAATGTCTATTGTTTACATTATTAATTTAATTTTAGTAATTGTTCACCGAATACAAGTCCCAAGAGCCACTCAAAATAGAGGGTTACTGAATGAGGTTGTTGCACGTGTGTAAGAGAGGAGGATATAAGCAGGGTAGTGTTTATGAGGATATGATGAACGATAAAAGTTCACTCTAGACTTGAAAAGGTTGATTGCAGTGATCGTAAAAGCATTCCCTCGGGATTCTTAAGAAAAAGCTATCCGAATGAAATTTCCGTCTTACGAATGGGATACAAAAAGAATGGGAGTAATTCATTACAATGAAAGTGCCATGGCAGGTTTTAGCTGTGAAGGTCTGAACTGGTGGAACTAATGAATGGAATTCGTCAGAACATTTGCCATTTTCTGAGACAGAAAAAAAAAACTGATGAATCTGTATTAATGTAACTCCTTGTTTCACAGTAGGGGCGGTAAGATGTAGTAAGTTTCTGTCAAAGGACAGAGTCGCAACTGAGGAAAATTATACTGAGAGGTGCCCAGCCCTCGGGAACAGCTGCCTGAGGCCGCGCCCTCCCATTGCACCAGAGAGAGGGATCGATGCTCGCACCGAGGCCAGCGCAACCGATGGTTGCGGGCAATTTTTGTTCCTTGCCCGGGTGTACGCGCTCGGGTTCCCCACCTTAAAAACTAACCTTGTGTCACTACTCGTCTTAGTGGGGAGACAGAGTAAATACCTAGTATAGTCTTACCACAATTATTTCAGCCATATACTATCATATACATATATGCCATATACTATCATATATATGCCATATACTATCATATATATATATATATATGTCATATACTATCATATATATGCCATATACTATCATATATATATCATATACTATCATATATATGCCATATACTATCATATATACATATATGCCATATACTATCATATATATATATATGCACATACTATCATATATATGCCATATACTAATATATATATATATATATATATATACTATTATATATATGCCATATACTATCATATATATATGCCATATACTATATATATATATATATATATATGCCATATACTATCATATAGATATGCCATATACTATCATATATATATATATATATATATATATATATATATATATATATATATATATATATATATATATCAGATTCAAAGACGAGCGCTTCCCCAAAAATCTAGCCACACTAAAATACCAGATTGCTTCAAGATTAATTAAAAATGTATTATTAACCAGTTTTGTGCAGTGTACCGTACATTTTAATTTTAATCTCAGCCATTAAATTTTGCAAGTCTTTCGCGATTAATACACGGTTTAAAAAAGTTGTGTGGTACGTTGCCTTCTTTAATAACAAATTGATTTTATTGGACTGAAAGGCAAATTTAAAATATTGGTATTTATTTCTTAACTGCGTCTCTTAATATTCTTTGTAATAACCCTAACTTGAACTTAGGACATTGAAGTCGTATGTCAGAGGCTCCAATAATCTTCCAATTGCCATCCTACAAGTAACCACTTTAGGCAAAAAAAAGGAGAGACAGACAGAGAGAAAAAAAATGGACTGACAATGACAGTGCGTGGACTGCAAGGTCATTTATAGAGACTCGGACATTGACATGCAACAGAAACAGATGAAGGGAGCTGGTCAGGTGCTCAGATGCACAACGACCCCATCCTGCCATGGGATTGATGATGATGATGATGATTATGATGATGATTACAAGGTCTGAAGATATTTCTTTTCCGATTGCAGCATAGCTTTGTCACAAAGGCTTATTAGATGACAACAACAATAAATACAAATAACAATAGAAGCAGGTGGCGGATAAAGGGATGGATTTGTTTTGAAAACAATTTCTTCGGATATTTTTGCCATCTTAGACAGAAACAAAAACATCGTGACGTAATTTATAACCGGACATTGAAGGATCTGCAAACTGTTAAAATATCATTTTTGAATCAAAATAACGAATTAAAGTAAACTCAATATTTCAAGCGGACATTTTGCTGTTGCTGAAGAATTCTTGATGTATAATGAAATATTTGCTCATTTAGGAAATATGTAATTTAGCAGGTTTTCTTTGTTGTGATCTAGACTTTGGAAATCCATTTTGCTTTTCGTAGTTTGAATGACAAAATTGTCCAGCTAAGAATGCGCCTGGATTTGAATATCAATATTGTAAAATCTGTAATTATAAAGAAAATGTAAAAAAAAGCCAACAGCATCATTAAAGCAGATATATAGAACTGAACAGAATGACCTCTCTCTCTTCTTTCTACTCTTTCTCCCTACTCTCTCTCTCTCTCTCTCTCTCTCTCTCTCTCTCTCTCTCTCTCTCTCTCTCTCTCTCTCTCTAAGTGGTTAACGTACATTTTTGGGGCTCTGAAACTTGAACAGATATAGGGGCCTCTTCACCAACCAACAACAATATATTCGTGGACCCAACTGACAAAATGTAGGCTCAAAATGTAGGCTCAATGAGTGCATACAGCTGCGGGTTAAGGCTCTGCAATCCACCAAGAAAATTTTGGAATTGGGCTAATTATAGGAGAATTTTGAAGTCTTATAAAATGGAGGGGGGGTATTAGAGAACATTCTAAGACCAATATTAACTACGTTAACCCATTGGCTTATGATTCTATCACTAATATGGCCTGTCCTAGGTATGACGATAAACTGCATCCGCGTCCTGAATAAGACGATAAACTACGTCCAACAGCAAGGCCCCTGATCAGGGGGTTTTGAGGAGTGTGGAACCACCTCTTAATTGTTGGTGTTCCCAGGTCCATCCTGTCCCGGGGTGGTAGCACCTGTTATGGTGCCAGCTATGGGCAAATAGTTAACACTCAGGTTACATCCGCGTCCTGGGTATGACGATAAACTACATCCAACAACAAGGCCTCTGATCAGGAGGTTTTGAGGAGTGTGGAACCACCTATTAATTGCTGGCGTTCCCAGGTCCACCATGATCCGGGGTGGTAGCACATTTTAGGGTTCCAGCTATGGGTAAATAGTTAACACTCAGGTTACATCTGCGTCCTGGGCAAGGCCTCTGATAATACGTTTTTGAAAAATAATGTTGCCAGCTGTACGTTTTTGAAAAAAAAAATTACCAGCTATACATTTTTGAGAAAAAATATTAACAAATGGATTTTTGACAAAACCAAAATATTACCAGGAAAAAAGAAGTTGTCGACATTAAATGACCCACTGAGGTTGATATGCCGTAAAATAAAACAAACAAACAAACTAGTATGGCCTTATTTTACTACTATAAAATACTATAAAAAAGATCAATTTAATTAAAAAATTCATTCATTAAAAAGTTCTTTCAGGGATTATGGACATTGAAGTTTAAGTTTCATTACTTTTATAGTAATTTTTCTCGTCAGAATCCATGCTGCACATTTATAGATCTACCATTCATTCGTCCGTGCATTGAATAATGTTACCATATCTAGTTTGGTGCTGCTATTGTACATCTCGAGATTCTTGACAAAATTCAAAGAAGGTTCTGCAATGTCATCGATCCTGACCTGGCATCTCGACTTCAGTCACTTTCTCACTAACCTGACCTGGCTTTCCTCTGTCTTTTCTAGAAATATTTCCATGGCAACTGTTGAGTTTTTCCCTGGTGCCTCGACTACATGAATTTAAGCGTGCTACTTGAGTGGCAACTAGGTCTCACCCGTTTTACTTCTGGACTAGCTAGATGCAACTACTCTAGAAGTCTCTTTTCTCGCACATCTCACCTGTGGAAATCACTTTCAATTTCTTGCATCTCTGATGACTACAATCTTCAAAAATTTAAATGTAATGTCAATCGCCATCTCCTGTCTTTCCGAACCCTGTTATTTTTTTTTTTTTAGTTTCCTCAGTGATTCTCACTAACGGCTTCTTATTCTCTTTCACTCCCTGAAACCCCTCGCGTTATAGGGAAATTATTGCCTTGATTGGGGTGAAATGATTAAAAGTTAGATAGATAATGAACAAACTGAGATAGATAGATAGATAGATAGATAGATAGATAGATAGATAGATAGATAACATACTCAGATAAAATAATCAGATAGATGTATATAAATAGAGAGATAACATACTCAGATAGATAGATAGATAGATAGATAGATAGATAGATAGATAGATAGATAGATAGATAGATAACATACTCAGATAGATAGATAGATAGATAGATAGCATACATAGATAGATAGATAGATAGATAGATAGATAGATAGATAGATATAACATACTCAGATAGATAGATAGATAGATAGATAGATAGATAGATAGATAAACAAAGGTAAATAAATAGATATATAGAATTAAAATGATGCACAAACAAAGCAGAAAATGCTAAAAGGAAGGGAGAAAAAACGATAGAGATTTGAGAATTGGTGTTGAAAAATGGTGGCCAAATCAAGTCACAGCTGCAATAGTTTTCACGCGCCATTATTTCCTCTTGTCTTGAAGTCAATGGCAGCCTATATAAGACATTCACCTGACTGCATTTGAGCAACGTCGCCACAGAAAAGTTACAGCATTCGGGTGAGTCGGACATCTGCGCATTTCAATATCTGCATGTAACTCAATTCTCCTTCAAATTCAAATGCGAACAAAGTTTTAAAACGTTTCATCAATGAAGTCAAAGAGAAGAATATATATTTTTTTAATATTTTTCTTTCTTTTATTTTTGTTCTCTTCCTTTTCTCCATTTTAATCTTTCCTTTTTTTTTCTTTTTTATCTTGTTTCACCTTTTTTCTTTCCTTATCGTCTTCTTTCTCTTACTCACGATTGTCTCTTGCATCTTTGGTTCGTTTTCGAACATCCTTCTTTCGCCGGATTAGCATTTCCTTTCCTTCTATCATATTTTTCTTCTTGTATATTTTTTAATCGGCCACTTTTATATTTTCCTTCATCTCTTTAGACTTTGGCTTTTATCTTCTTCTTTTAACATTTTTTTATCCTCCTCATTTTTTCATTCATCACTTTCCTGTTTTTCTATTTCGACATTTTTTATCGGCTTCATTTCATCCTTCTTCTTTTTTTCGTTTTATTTATTTTCTTGAATGTTATTTCTTTTCGATTTCCCACTTAATATTCTTTCTTTTTCGCTTCTTTTTTTTCTCCTCAGAACAGTTCCTCTCTTTCAAAGTATCTTCAAACTTCAATTATTTTAACTCTTCAGTTTAAATTATTGTTGTTAAGTGACTTTTCTGTACCTATCTCTCCATTTATGACTCTCTCATATCTATCTATCTATCTATCTATCTATCTATCTATCTATCTATCTATCTATCTATCTATCTATCTATCTTAGGCAGTTGCTATCTATCTATCTATCTATCTATCTATCTATCTATCTAAGGTGGTTCCTTCCTTCCTTCATATCTATCTATCTATCTATCTATCTATCTATCTATCTATCTATCTATCTAAGGCGGTTCCTTCCTTCCTTCCTTCCTCCCTATCTATCTATCTATCTATCTATCTATCTATCTATCTATCTATCTATCTAAGGTGGTTCCTTCCTTCCTTCATATCTATCTATCTATCTATCTATCTATCTATCTATCTATCTATCTATCTATCTATCTATCTATCTATCTAAGGCGGTTCCTTCCTTCCTTCCTTCCTTCCTTCCTTCCTTCCTTCCTTCCTTCCTTCCTCCCTCCCTCCCTCCCTCCCTATCTATCTATCTATCTATCTATCTATCTATCTATCTAAGGTGGTTCCTTCCTTCCTTCATATCTATCTATCTATCTATCTATCTATCTATCTATCTATCTATCTATCTAAGGCGGTTCCTTCCTTCCTTCCTTCCTTCCTCCCTATCTATCTATCTATCTATCTATCTATCTATCTAAGGTGGTTCCTTCCTTCCTTCATATCTATCTATCTATCTATCTAAGGCGGTTCCTTCCTTCCTTCCTTCCTTCCTTCCTTCCTTCTTCCCTCCCTCCCTCCTCCCTATCTATCTATGTATCTATCTATCTATGTATCTATCTATCTATCTAAGGTGGTTCCTTCCTTCATATCTATCTATCTATCTATCTATCTATCTATCTAAGTATTGCCTTATATTTCATTCTATCTTTATGAACCTTTTTCATTTTATTTTATTTTCCTTCATTAGATACATTGTTTTATATCATAAGTAATGAGAAATACTAAATTTGTTCTCAGATGCTGAATCAAGTGAATCTGAGAGAAATGAAAATTGGTATATTACAGATTTTAACAATCGTACCGCAAAAGGTTACCGACTCGAAAGTAAAGCCAACGAACCGAGTTCAAATTGCGGTTGAACCTTTTTTTCTTCACTTTTGCACTAATCCATTTGGAAATCAATTCTCCCCCAGCTATGGGGCAAATAGTACGACAGATTCGTCTCCCTGGGTCTTGGGTCACAGATTCCACGGCAGTAGAAGGACAGCCCTGAATTTAGTACCATAGAGAATGGAATCAACTCCTTTATCATTTGCAAGAATGCACGATAATAATTCACGGATTGTATAAAAATTTAAAAAAGGACACTGTGAAGAGCCATGGTCGCCACATTCATGGAAAGACACAATATGTGGGAAATTGTTAAATTATTAAGGTGTCCGAGTGCTAATTACCATATTTTCTGCCTTACAAGACGCTCCGGCATGGAAGACGCACCCTATTATTGGAAAGAAATTTCTAAGAAATAAGAAAATTCATTCTCATACAACAGCACATTCACCATGCGTCCCTAACATACTGGCGCCACGTATTGTTTACATTAATCACACATCTGATTTTGTTTGGCAGTCAAGAGAAGAAGGGCTCTCGTCGCTGTTAGTAAACAGAGAATGTTTAAACTTGTGGCTCGGCTCCAGGAAGGTTTATAGTCTTGTAAATACTTGTA